CGAGTCTCTGACGACGTTTGTTCTTCTTTTTGGAGCATTTTATTGTGTATTTGTGGTCATTTTTATTCTCTCCCTGGTTGTTCAGTGTCTCTTTGAGGGACATTTCGTAGCTTTGATCCGTGTCACAGATAATTGATTCACTGCCGGATGCTGAAAAGTCACATTCTGTGGTTTTAGACAAATAAATATTGTTTTGGAAAATTCTATTTCTTATTTTTTGTTGGCTTTTGAAAGCCAGTCGAGTCTTAAAACCCTTCTTATCAGTGACGTGTGATCTAATCAGCACATAACATTTTGGAGGATTTTATTGTGTATTTGTGGTCATTTTTATTCTCTTCCTGGTTGTTCAGTGTCTCTTTGAGGGACATTTTGTAGCTTTGATCCGTGTCATTACATTACATTACATTACATGTCATTTAGCGGACGCTTTTATCCAAAGCGACGTACAATAAGTGCATTCAACCATAGGGTACAAACTCAGGAGAACAAGAAACAAGAAAGTGCAATTTCCTCAAATAAGCCAATTTACAATTTGCTATAGATGAGTGACGTTACAAGTACAATTTAAGTGCTGCAATCTGTTTGTCTTTAGTCGAGGTAGAGTCTGAAGAGGTGTGTCTTGAGTTTGCGGCGGAAGATGTGGAGGCTCTCTGTGGTGTCCTCAGTGAGATGTAATCTATATGTCACAGTATCGTTCCCCTCAGAGTTCTGCATTTCTCTACAGTTTCCATCTCCACTCTGCAGCAGACTGACCACAGACAGAAGAGCACAGAGCAAAGACACTCTTCTTCTCATCAACCAAACCCTTCTAATACTTCAACTTGAGCTTTTTCAGGTCCACAGGTTCAATACGTCGCTGTTCCTTCCAGCTGCAGAGTCCATGTGGACATCGTGGACTCTTTCATTACTTTCTATAAACTCAATGATTTTCATATTTCTCATAATATCTTTTCTCTTCAGTAAACTACCAATGAGAGTGTGTCCTGTGATGTTGTTCTGAGTGTGACTGTGGTTCCTGATGTGCTGTGTTACAGTGATACAGAGTCAGGATGGATGGAGAGTGGATTACTATCAGACTGACGTCTGTGCTGTAAAAGGATCAACAGTGTATATAATCTGTGACATCACACACCCACCTGGAATATATTACTCTGATATAAAGGACAGATTCTGGTTCACTAAAGAGAAAGATGGTGAACCTGTGGATCTGAGAACAGACTCTGAGTATTCAAGCCGTGTGAAGCACACATGTTATAGTATTTTGAAGAGATGTTATCTGACCATCACAGACGTGAGAGAGAGCGACTCAGCTGAGTACAAATTCACATTGATGACAAACAAACCAGAGAGAAATATACTGGTTCACCTGGAGTCACTTTGTCTGTCACAGGTAACATTTTAATTCACATATTAATCATCTCCACATGTTCAACATCTAGAAAACTCGAGTATAAATGTCTTCTGTGAATGTTGACACTTTAATAAATAATATTCACTGATTCAGGTCTCCAGGTGCAGGTGAGAAGATCAGATTCTACCTGGTTGGAGCTGACGTGTCACAGCAACTGTGTTCTGTCTGATCATCCTGAATACGTCTGGTACAAGAATGAAGAGAACATCAAGACAGGATCTTCTCTTCTAGTCTCCTCTGGTTCTACAGACAGATATTCCTGTTATTTAAGAGGATCTTGGAATCAACGTTCTCCTGCAGTGTGTAAGTTCACTCCACTGTGTCGGCCTGTGGAGCTTCAACAACATCTCACATAGAGGCACCAGACCGCTGCATGTAAACTAGAGGCATCAAAAAGATGAAGCACAACGTTCCTCAGGAGGTGGAGCCGTGGTCCACTGACCAGAGGGTTGCTGGTTCAATCCCCGGCCCCTGCAGTCTACGTGTAGAAGAGTCACTCACACACTGACACAACAATATGATTCTAATCACAGCTGTAAACACACTGGAGTCTAAATGTTAAAGGAGACACAGATCTTTATTTATGTCATTCTCTTATTAATAGAAACACAAATATAAACCATCAGCAGACAGAATAATGTGATTTTCATAAAGACTCAAGTGAATTATTCCAGAACATAAGTAGAAGTGACGTGTCAGCTGGTGGAGGAAACAATCAATAACTCCTACAACAACTAGAAGTGAGAGGACAGACTCAGCTAAGGACACAAGCAGCATCTAAAGAGAAGAATGTGTGGAGATATGAACATTACAAAGGCTTAAAGGCTGCTTATTGTCACTTTACACCAGCAGGAGTCTCACCTGTGACAGCTGCTGTGATGAATACTGGAGATAGTCTGAGAGAAAGACACACAAGTATTCATTCAAATGATCAACTATCTACGTTGACATCTTCTAACCTCTTAGTATGTTTATTCACGTCTCCTCCAGATGGTCCACAGCGTCCCTCTGTGTCAGTGAGTCCCTCTGCTGAGATGCTGGAGGGCGATTCAGTGACTCTGACCTGTAGCGCTGATGCTAACCCAGCAGCTAACTACACCTGGTACAAGGAGGATGAAGACTCACCACGAGCATCAGGACAGATCTTCACCATCACTGACTTCACAGCTGAACACAGTGGGGATTATTACTGTGAAGCCCCAGAACGAGATGGGGACGTAGTAACTCCACCTTACTTCTGATTACTGAGTCTGGTGAGTTTCTCCATGACAGGAATCGTCTGATCAACAAACAGCATCTCCTGCACGTTTATCCATGAATCAGTCCCTCCTGATGAGGTAACGTGCTGTTTGTCTAATAACTGTGTGTTCCCAGGTGTTTATAGAACAACAATGATTATTCACATCACCAGGTGGACTCTGGTCTTTTTGAATCCCGATTGTTCTGCTTGTCTTTCGTCTGTGGACGAGGTAAAACAACTAGAACTCATCCTCACTGAGCTTTTACTTTGAAAAGGTCCTTCGATAGTGAAGATAAACGTTTATTTGTTGACTCTATTTGTGTATCTGTTTGTTTTATGACTGAATGCAGGAAGAAGAAAGCTGTGAGCTCCACCACTGAACCACATGAGTCCAGAGAGGCTGTGGAGGTGAGACATTTGTCCTCAGAGACAGAACTCACCAAAGGGTCATCGTCTGTTAAGTCATAAAGATAATTCAGAAGTAACTTCATCACTAACATCTTTCTCCTTTTGAACCACCAATATTTACCACGTTTACTGCAAAAGATTTAAAGAACAAAGAGTCGTATTGACCATCAGCTAAGCCCCTCCCCTTGGTTACTGTTGCCAGGTCTATCCAGCTTCAGCATCACAGCGCGTAAACATGGCGGTGAAATTTTGGGATGCAAACCAGCAACGTTTACATTTCAGTCATACAGACTTTTACTAAATACGCTTGTGTCTTCACCAGAAGCACATTTAGGAAAAGATTATGAAATACTTGGTTAAGTTCAGGCGACAAAACTACCAGAGTTTAGGAATAAATATTAGTTAGCGTTAAAATAACTAATTTAAAGTACTGAAGTCACGAGACAAAGTTGTACTTGTTGTTTCACACCAGGAACAAACAAGGATCTCCTGGGTGACAGATTTGTTTCTTACACATTAATGAGAATTATTCATATTCGACTGTCATGCTAAGCTAGCTAACGCTATTAGCATCTTACCTCAGAGAAAACAAAGGAGTTTTTATTGATCGTTGATGGATTCAGTCTTCCACATGTTTAATCCATAAGTGACATCAACCCTCTAAAGGCCTCTGGTCCCTAGTTACGGTTGCTAACGTAGGAATGTACAGTGTGCGTTGGGGGAGGGGCTTAGCCGAGGGTCGGTTGTATCTGAACTGCTTCTCTGAGGCCTTTGACTCTCATCGTCTCTCCATCAGATGGACCTTCATCCTGAGTATGAGGACCTCTCAGACATGGCAGCACAGAGAGAAGACCCAGAGGAGCAGGAGGACCGGGTGTGAAGGTCAGCCAGGTGTCAGTCTGCTGCAACTCAAAACAACTTCCTGCTTCCGTGTCTGAGGAATAACTTCATGTGATCTTCTTCAGATGCAGTCAAACCAGAGGGAGACTCACCTGGACGGAGACAGGAACAAGTGAACATATTTCCCTTCAGTACCACAAGTTATTATCTGAGGTCTTTACAAAGTTAAAACTGTACTTTTTATTTCGTTCTCTTTGTTCTTGAATCACTGTTTTTATTTTAAATGTTCTTTGGTAGAGAACTTTGAATTTCATTCTTGCTTCAATGTGTTTTATAGATAAACTTGCATTAAAATATCAGAATTAGTGGCTTGTAGCAGAATATTCATGATGCTTTAATTATATCTGTGCTGCTACATTACTTGTGTGCATGTTGTAATTGAATAAATAAATTGCTTTTAAGAAACTCTGATCACCATCTTATCCAGTTTTTCTTCACCGGATTAAAGGACAAATGGAAGAAAAAAAGTATTTTAGAAGTTAAATGGTCTCCATCTCAAAGAAAACTTTCAACAATGTCCAAAAAGAGTGATATTCCATTGTGACCTTTATTGTGGCGGGTGAATCCAGTACTTCCTGATCAGTCGACGAGTGAAACAGAAAATCAACTTCAACTCATTTTACTGTTAATGGTCACTTCCGTTCTGTATCACGCAAAGTTCTGATTAATACAACGATGAAAATGTCTTCAGAAAGTTTCTGTAAAAAATGATGCCGTGGTGATTTCTTTGCGTTTGGAGACTTAAACGAAGGGTGAATTAGCCTCTACTTTTTTATCTTACTCACAAGTCCCACAACTAAGTGAGTATTTAAAAGCTACATCTGTAATGATTTGGTGGAATCTTTTAGTGAGATTGCAGCAGAGAGAACTGGGCTCAGAGTTTGAGGCTCAACGGCACATAAAGTAGTTTAATATGTAGAAAATACTATTGTACATTGTACCAGTTTCTACCAGTCAGTCAAAATGTTAATATCATTTATAACAGCAGCATGTAAAGTTCATTTATCATCTGACCTGAAGCGTTGATAATTAATATCAAGTGTCTGAAAAGCGCCTTAGAAGCACTCGCGGTGCACGATGCTGTGAGCGGCCTCGTCCTCCTGCTTGCTGATCCACATCTGCTGGAAGGTGGAGAAGGAGCCGCCGATCCAGACGGAGTATTTACGCTCAGGAGGGACGACGATCTGCAGCAGAGGAGGAGGAGCTAATAATAATAATAATAATAATAATAATAATACCACATCACAACAGACACAAGGACGATAAGAACAACCAGTTATCACTGATAATATATTCAGCTTGTGAAACATTATTTTAGGATGTGAAAAACTAAGCAGTGAATATTTATCATTTACTATAAATGACAAATGCAGACGTCCATTTAAGAGCTGCTCTGCAGTTTGATTTGAAGATGAGACGGGAGGTCAGTCGTCCATCTTTAAGCAGGAGGAAGTGTAAATATAAATACACAATATCACATTGGGGGAAGGACACAGGAGACATGTCCCCTGCACCTTTTAAAAAACCCGTTTTGGTCCCCTGCTGTTTTTACCGTCCAAAAACAATGTTACGCTACGGTAAACAGAGACTGGTCAAGCACTAGGACCCAGCGGAAAAAGGGCCGCTCAAGCTGAAGCCTGTTTCCCTCAGTTTAGACCAGTGTTCATTTTGGCAGCTATTTCTGATTTAGTCTTAGGACGAAAAATGCATATTAGTTTTAGTCACATTTAACAGCCATATTAAACTCCTTTTCTTCCCTTCTCAGGCCCAGGGACGCCCTGTGTTGTGTCTACAGCTGCATAATAGTCTAGCTTGCTGTACTTGGTTGTCCATCAGATGTCCCTCCTTGGACAGGCCTATAGATGTCCCTCCCATAGGACAGGTCTATAGATGTCCCTCCTAGGACAGGTCTATAGATGTCCCTCCTAGGACAGGTCTATAGCAGGTCGGCAAACGTTTTGACTCGCGGCCACAGTGGGTTGTAAAATGTGACGAAGAACAAACGGTGGAAGTGTTTGTGTGAGCTGATATCAATGACATGTGAAACATCATTACATGAAAGGATTTGGGAATGTAACAAATAGCAAAGCATTTATTTGCAAAGGCAATTTAACAAATTGGCAAAGGTGTAACAACTTGATGAGGACCAGGGACCTAAACGCCAACACTTTGTGGTTCTTTGTCTGTTTACTTGCGATGCTTTTGACACTTCATGGTCCTTTATTGTTTCCACTGTCCCAACAAGAGAGACCTTAACGTCCTACAATCGCTGCAATACATTATTTTCTTGGCTTCAGAACCTGCAATGAGTTTATTACATTAAACGTGTGTTTGTGACGGAGCGTCTCATCCAGCGAGGAAACGCTGCCTGCCGTCGCCAGAGAACAGAGCAGAAAGGTCCGACGGTCTTTAAACGTGTCTTCATGTTTCTGTGAAGCAGCGCGGCTTCAGCCTGCTAACAGGCAGCTAACAGGCAGCTAACCCGAGACAGCGGAGCTAAACTAACGAAGCCACATTCAAACTCGCCGAAGCGTAAAATAGTCGTCGCGGTCCGTAGTCGGTGCACAAGAACCACCGCTGCACCGCTGGGGGCGTTCTGGGTTCGTGGATGACGTCATGACGCGTTAATATCCGCCTGTTACGCTCCCTGGTGGCTCGACCCGGAGCGCAACATAAGGGCGACAGGTCAAGGCAAGTGAGGCGTTAGCCACACAGAATCCAATACACGAAACGTAACAAAGTATTTGTTTTTCAAAAGAGCAACACAGGGATCAACAAGGACTGTCAGTGGCACCAAGAAGAGAACATAAACCCCCCCTCATTGACCGGTGCTTAGCACCCAAAAATACAGTAGGTGGCACTCACTCTAGCCTAGGGTACTAACAACAGGTACACCTACGTGTAGCAATATGTAAACCCCGGAGTATCTTACCTGTCCTCATTGACCCTGTGCGCACAACCAAAAGATATCACAAAAACACCAGTAGGCTGTTACTAATTCAATTTTAACACAAGACAGTGGTCTTCAAACCGCGGGCCCAGCTCAACACAGAAGAGCCTCCCCACTGAGAACAAACATTGACTCTGTGAAGGGGAACGGTTGATGGGAGATCTGGAACAGGTGTGGTGATTGGATGAGGGGAACCAGGTGTGCACATCTGTGAAGTGAGAGAATGGAAACAGAAGGGGGAGACAAAACCAAACCAACAACACAAAACAGAACACCACATCTGTAGACCTACTACCCGTAGAGCACTGTACGTAACACCGCCGTACTTTGCCTGTCTGTTGTCTGTCAGCTGCGTGCGAATTCAGGGGGAAAAAGTATCGTGACTTCCTCAACCACCAACACGTTCGTCTCGTCTCGTTAACGAAAGTTAAGATTTAGTCATAGTTTTTATTTTTTAAGATCGTCTTAGTCTCGTCTTAGTCATGGAAAAAAGGTTCGTTAATGAAAAATGTTCGTCAAATTTCGTCACTGGTTTAGACCCGCCCACCAGCTCCTCCATTGGCTCTGCTGTTGCTCGTGTGATTGGCCGTCCCCGCTGTCATCAGGTTGTAAACCGGTCTGCTAGTTGCCTCGAGGAGTCCCTGTTACTCCGCCACTGTAAGTGTGAAATAGGTGCTACTGAGTTGGAGTGAAGATGACTAACAAGGTGAAACACAGAATGATAAAGTTTTGCTACATGCTTTACAACCAGCCAAACCAAAAAGGGAACAGTAGCAGTAGAAAACTAGAAGAACTGCTAGTTTGATTAAAAATACTTGTGCCCCCCCCCCCCCACTTCTGAAATCAAAATGAGTCCCTGGATACAAACACGATCAGGGTGGATTTAATTCAGCAATAGAATAGAAGAGCACACTGAGAACTTAAGGGGAGAATATTCAGTCAACTTTTGTCTTTAGGTTCAAGCCAACGATAAACCTGAATGAGCAATAATCCAACATCCTGACAGGAAAATAAATGAACAGTAACAATCAGATTCACATGTGGACATCTCTTCATTTAGTGAGTAACACATATATATATATATATATATATATATTGTGGCAACCAACGGGTGTGGGTGAAATCACAGGACTCGGATACACGACCAGCTGCACACAAAAAAAGGGTACGGTTTATTTTGACATACAAAAAAAGGGAAAAGGGCAAAATAGGTTCTTCCTCTTTTGAGGGCTCGGTTCAACAGGCTGTTCGGCCTTCAGTCCCCTTCCTGCGGGAAGCACAGAAAACAGGATTTACACTCATTCCAAAACCCCCCCAGCGTGAGGCCATCTCCTATACGTCTAGTTCCCCAGGCTGCATGAATGGGTGGTCCTTTATAGTGTGGGGGGGCGGGGGGGCGTTTCCCCTTCTCACCTGACCTCTGGCTCGTCGGTGCCCCAGACCTTGGTGCTGATCTCTTGAGGCGCTGTCCAGGGTGCTGATTCGTGGGTTG